GCCATGATTCAGAACAGGTGGTGTGTCAGTCAGAGTGACATAGGGTCACGAATCAAGTCATAAACCACCTTTTTGACAAACTTTTTGCTTGCTTTATCTGCACAAATGTTTGACAACTTAGTTGACTTACTGATTATTTTCTAAAATATATTCACCCTTAGGCCATCCCAGATGTAGTTGAGTAATTCAAATATCTGATAAAAGCTCCACAAGTGATCCACATGACTCTAGTTCATCAATTGCCATCTTGTGAAGTGATCCATCATCAAAATCCATCAAGATGTTTTTCAAGTCCTCTCTTCTCCATAAGATTGCTTTCTCCTGTGAAAAAGTCATTTAATCTGAATAGTGATAGTTAATATGCACATATCAAGTGCAAACAGTTTTAAACAAATATGTTGGTGGATTGGTGTGAGATCTCGACAGGGGATGGATATTTTCACTGGAGGAAGAGTTATTATGGATTATGGATTGGTGTTTTTGGACAGAAGTGACAGTTTAAAGTTAAAAAGCCTTAACATTTTTACAAACACACAGCTTTTCACTTCATAGGATCTACTGGTGACCAAACATCTGGACAGGTGACAACAACAACATAATCAATTGCTCTTTAAAAATATGTATGTGTATGTGTATTTTAATACACAAAATCCTCATTAAACACCACAAGTGCTCTTGGGAGCTGTTTACTCACTCATTTTTAAATAAATGGTGAAGGCAATTGTCAGCAAATTTTCATTTTGGGTGAGCTATTCCTTTAAAGCTGCAGTCCTAACTTTTTTGCGCTCTGGGGGGTCTTGCAGAAGTCTTGCAGAAGAAGCCGGAACTACTTCTCTCTGTTCTTGTCTATGATGAGTCACGCAGGCCGGTTGCATAAAAGGTTTAGACTAGTCTTAAATGTTAGTCAGCTAATTTTGTCTTTAAAGGGACAGTTCACCCAAAAATGAAAATTCTGTCATCATTTACTCACCCTCAAGTAGTTCCAAACCCGTATAAATTTCTTTGTTCCGCCGAACAGAAAGGGAGATATTTTGAAGAA